GTTTGAGCCAGCTGACGCCTTGGTAAATGTAATCGTCTCTCCGCAGGCTTCTGGATGACAAAGCTGAGGTGAGGGGCCGAAGAGGGCACACGTCGTTTTGCAGAAACATCTTATAAGCACGAGCGGGCAGGGGAGCAGAGGACTTGGATGGTGACGCTGTCGTCAAGTACCTCATCCAATGGGATTTGGCATAGCACGCAGTATGCAAGTGCCAACGAGCAGTACAAACAAGCAGAAAGCCGGAGGACTCGCTCAACCCCGTGTAGAAAACCTGTTGAATGTTAGAATATGCAGCTGGTCTTGATGGACGTGCAAATACGACGACGGATAAGGCACATGATTTTAAAGTGGCAACAAAATATGACAACCGGGAGTCAAGCCAGCCTACTATGCTGGAAGGGAGTGCCAGTCAATGGACGCCAAGGTACGGAGTTTCAACGTTAACTTTGTGCCTTGATGAGAACGTATCAAGTACTTGAAGGCAGTAGATAACTTGACTCGGCTTGATCCAACTGATGTGATAAGGTGTGGATGAGTAAGATGTATTGGAAGTGTGCTAAAAAGCGTGCTGGTGTGCAGAAGACAGACAGAGGAGCATTTACAAGTAAGATGAAGCTGTACCAGTCACCTCGAACATCTGTTGACGGCAATAATTACTATCCAGGAACATCAGACAGTCTTACCAAGGGGTGTGTGGGTATGTAGAAACTGGTCGCAAACGAACACGGCATCTTACCGTGAGGGGGCTTTAGATACTATGGATGCTTGCATCCCGTGCCATCGTTCGTTTGCCAAAAGCCTCCCGTCACTCGAGGGGAAGCACCTTAACTCTGTATTTCTCCTATCCCCCGCTACGGGCCTCAGGCAGATGCCTTGCGCGAGACGGGCTTTGATCAGATCATGAGCTGATAAACCGTGGTTTTGGAGACTGGTCTTGGAGTGACAACAACCAGCCTCTTGCAAGGAGTGGACAAATAATTCGAGGGACGAAACATCATCGTATGGGTTCCCTAGTAAGAGTGTTAATACTCAGCTTATTTGGAGCTGCTTGATCCACGGCTAAATTTTAATCAGACCTTTGTCATTGCAAATGTGGATTGTTATATTTGAAAGAAAAGGCATGTTTCGACGAGTGCGGAGGGATGGCTGGGTCATCTCACAGTTTCGCCTACGAAAAAAAGATTTTGGAGGAAGATAGGACACAAAGAGGAGGTAGAACAATTTCCAAATTTTCGAGAAATGAAAGGTAATGACAGACATAAATCAATCCCGCCTCAGATGGGGATGATCGAAGTATCAAATTTGACACCGTCTCTTCCGGGTTCTGGCCCGCTAGGTCCTTCATCCACCAGATGATTGACGAGGGCAAAAACGGAAGCAGCCATCCACTCGAGTGTGCGGGGTGCTGTCCTGTGCTGGAAGGAGCGAGAGACATGCTTCAGGACTTGCGAGATGCTTCGTCCAGCCTTACCCCGAAACCTCGCCGCAGGCTGCTGGAAAAGGATGGATAGAGAGCTGGAAATGTATTCTAAACGAAGGGAGCATAGTGGCATAGGACCGACCTTTTTGTCAAAATACGTGGTTTAGGTATCATAACAAGTCTAAAACTATCGCAAAATACATATGTAAACATCCATGATTGGATGAAAAAACCCAATATCTCTGTTTTTCCCACACCAACACCAACACTAATAACCAACTCATCAATCCTCCAACAAGCCAGCGGCCAAAGCCTCCAAATCCTGCAAATTATCCGGCTCATGATCCATCTCAATAACCTTCCTGCCGCCCTCCATCTTGGCCTTCTTCCTCTTCGGCCTGCCATCATCGCTATACTCCGTATCCGAGTCATCCTTCTGGAACCACTTCTTAGCCTTCTTCTTAGGCGGTTCCCTATCGTCCTCGCTCTCGTCGCCGCTGTCACCGCCCTTGCCAGCAACAGGCAAACTCCTGAGCAAAGCCAAGGGATCCTCCTCCACATCGCTGTGCGCATCCAGCAGCGCCGGCTGCAGGGGACCCTTCTCCCTCTCGACCTCCTCACCCCTCTCCCTTGCCTTGGCGCGCTCCCTCTTCTCCTTCCTCCGCTGCTTGGCCAGCAGCTTGTCTTCGACATCCTGCTCCTTGACCTTGGTGGCCTCGCTCTCGACGAACTTCTGCCTGAGCTCCTTGGCGTCGCCCTCCTTCTGGAAGTCCTCCTCGTCTTGCAGCTGGTAGAGCGGGTGGGCGTTTCCTTCGTCGTCAAACACAAGCTTCTGGCCCTTCTCCATGTACTTGAGCAGCTTCTTCTTGGACTTGAGCAGCTTCTCGCGACGGTGCGAGTCGATGACCAACTCGGCGTTCTTGCCCAGCTTGACCACCTTGGCCGTGCCGTCGGGGTTGGTGCCGGACTTGGCGTTGCCGGCGGCGTCGTCGAGGGCGGCATCGTCGTCCAGCACGCGCTTGACCGAGAGGAAGTCGTCTTCCTCGTTGTCTTCTGCCTGATCTTCTCCGAGAAGCTTGCGGTAATGCGTCGACAAGACGTCCTGGTTTTGACGCTCGGCCATCTTGTCGTACTTTGTCCTGACCTCCTTCTTCTTCTTGCGGATCTCGCCGTCCGAGCCTTCGGTGTCGGACCCGCTGGACATGGCGGCGCGCGAGGCATTCTTGAGCTTCTTGACGTCCTCGCCCTTCTGGTACCTGATCTGTGGAGTACCTGGAAGACCCAGGCTGGAAGCAAAACCGTCAAGGTCGAGTTTATCGAACTTGAACACCTCCTTATCCTTTTGCAGGTAAATCGAACGAACGTGCGAGACGAATGCCTTCTGTCCGAGGTATTTGAGATCGGGTGACTGAAAACACTGTGACTGTAGTTCGTTCTTGATGCTCTTCTTCTTGTTCTCTTTGACGTTCACTTTCTGGACGGTCACCTTCTTGTGCTCGAGACGCTTAAGGAAACCCTCTTCTTCGCTGGGATCAAGGAACAAGACAGCGCGACCCTTGCTCTCGTAACGCGCCGTTCTGCCAACGCGATGGATGTAGGTGTCGGCATCTTCAGGGCAATCGACCTGGATGACCCAGTCAACGGCGGGGAAATCGACACCTCTGGCCACGACATCGGTGGCGAAGAGGCAGGAGTATTTTGCGGACGTGAATCGGTTCGTGATCTCGAGACGTGCTATTTGTTTTTGGCGACCGTGCAAATGTAATAGTGGAATACCGGGCTGCATCCGCTTAAAACTTTCGTAGGCGAATCTGACCTGCTTGCCGGAGGACATAAACACAATAATCTTGCTCTTGAGGTTCGTTCGTAGGAAGCCCCATAGCGTGTCGAGCTTCTCAGGGAGAGGTGTGACGATATAATGCTGTTGGAGGCCGACGGGGGTCGCCGATGCTGCGGCTTCGTGAACAGAGACGTATTCGGGGTCCTTCAAGCTCAACCGGGCAAGGTCCGAGACACGCTTGCTTTGTGTGGCGCTAAACAGCAGGGTCTGCCTGCTCTTGGGAAGATGCTCAACAAGAGCGTCAACGGCCTGTTGAAAACCCATGTCCATGATACGATCGGCCTCATCAAGCACGAGCATCTGGAGGTTGTCGACATCGAAGCCGGCCGTTTGGTCGAGATGCTGCAGCATACGGCCAGGTGTGCAGACGAGGATATTCATGCGCCCAAGACGCTCCGCCTCCTCCTTCAAGCTCTTTCCACCAATAACCAAGCCTGCCGAAAAGCTGTGGTTGCGCCCAATCTTCCTGAGAACTTCGAATATTTGGACGGCCAATTCACGGGTCGGGCTGATAATGAGGGCACCGAGACCGTCGTACTCAGTCCATCGTGCACGGTATAGCTTCTCGAGGACGGGAACAAGGAAGGCGAGGGTCTTGCCACTACCTGTCCTAGCAGCGCCGAGAATATCTTGCCCTTTGAGCGCGAGAGGGATGGCGGCACGTTGGACATCGGTTAGGACCTCGAAATGGGATGCGCGCAGTCCAGAGGCGGTAGGTTCGCAAAGGGGAAGGTCCGAGAACTTGTTGATTTCGGTGGATTTGGGGTCCTAGTAGATTGAAACACAATATTTAGAAGCGTGTGCGGTTGTATAGTGAGAAATGGGGGTTCACTAGGACTTACAAGTTCGTCGATTCTCTTCTGAAGCGCCTCGAGGTTCTCCAGCTCTCTTTTCCTCTTCAACGTCTTGTGTTCGGCCTTGTTGGCTTTGGGCCTTTCCTTCTCGGTTTTGCCCTTGCCACCGCGGCCTTTGGGGCCTCCTGGAGCCATTGTGTTTGTGTTGTTCGACCGTGCTGGAGATTGGGCGTGGTGGGTTTGACGAAGTTCCAAAGGTCGGGTCTGCTAGTCGAGCGAATCCAATTGCCTGCGGGTCGTCGCTGGTGGCCTTTCAGTTCGATGCGATAGGAAAACTTTTGGCGGAGAGCAATTCTGCCAGCTCGACCCACCTCATCCACTATAAGCGAGGGGATCTGCAGCAGGGATCTCGGAGGCGCGGTCAGCTCAGACCAGGGTTAGGGTCATACGAGCAGACAAACCATCGAGTTGTTAGCCCCCAGCGACATTATCTCGTTGCTATGGTTCATGATGAGTTGGATGGGCAGTTGTACGGGGTTGAAGTAGGAAATTCACAGTAGCTTTCGCATCGAACCAAATTCAATTTTTAGTGATTTTATTTCAGCGCCCACAACTTCAGCAATATACATTTCTCACTTAGAACAGCAACATTCGAACATCAACACCGTGCCTGAGCAATGAAAAGAGCCAAACTACCATGAAAGCTTAATGTATTGGACCACGAAAAAATGAGCTTGAAGACGGGTATCGCTCGCTCACATGATTCCTTCGTAGACACCCGCAGTGAAACCAACCCACTAGACCCACCCATATATACGTTTCCCAAAGTTGAAACCGATAAAAAAAAGACCAAACGCCTTGCCCCATTCCCAATTTCCTTGCTTTTCCCTTCCATACGTATTCGACCGCTCAAGACCCGTCGCCCAGATACCCAGTATCAATCCTGTTATTCCTCGCCCTCAAACTCTAATTCCTCCCCAAACAGTTTCAGCCGGTAAATGCATGTATGATCCAGGGCTCCGTGGTTTGTCTTGGCTCTGACCAACACCTTGTACGTCGCCGCATCCAGATCGAGCAACTCCTCCGACAGCTTGTGGACAAACATTCCGTGGCTACCGCTGGTCTTGGCATAGTCGTACTCCAGCTCGCCGATCTTGACGTATTTTCTGTTGATGAGGGACAGCGATTTTTTGTTGTCTGCGTCGACCCTCTTCATGTCAGCTTCGCGCTCGCCAGGGTACAACTCGTCCATCCAAGCCAGGAGTCGCTTGCTATCGTCCGCGTCCGGATAGTATCCCCAAATCTCAATGTCTTTGGGCATGGACCCAGGGTCATTCGTCGCGTTCGGGTGGACGTGCTCAACGACGATGGCTTGGGGAATGACATGGTTGGCCATCTCCACGGCGAGCTCGGCCCCCCTGCTGGCTGTAATGCCAGCGCACCAGCACTGGCCAACGTCATTCCAGGCAGAAAGCGCCAGCATGTATTCTGCTTCCAGGGTGACCTGATCCTTGCTCGAAATGGGCTTTGGCTTGCCGAGCAGTTTGCTTAGGTGCTTGTTGCCTGGCAGTGCTTGCGAGTCAAGTCGGTATACGGGGGATGATTCCGACAGGACGATACCAGCTTCATTGCCCAGGCCGAAATGGTTGACTTGAGTTTCAACGTAGTCGTGGTAGTTGCGCATGATGCCGTCCTTAGCGGCTGCTTCAAGTTGCGCCCGAGGAATCTCCTTCTTGACAATATTCCTGACCAGGGTGGTGATTTCGGACTTGGAAAGACTACCTTCGGAGTTGGAGATGGCCGCCTTGACCGTAGTGTCGATGAGTGTCTCAAGCCCTTTCTTGACGGAATCCAATTGACCATCAATCTCCTCCTTGTGTTCTGCAATCCTTTTCTTCAAGAGGCCCACAAACTCATCTCGACTGATGGCTGCGTCACGCGTGACCCCATCGCCTTTGTCTCCTGGTAGATGCTTTTTGACAACCTGGGCAACCTTTTCCCCGTTCTTGGTTACCCAACGTTCCCAAGATTTGGAAACAGTGCCTTCGGCAATCTGCAAGATATGCTCATCCGATGGGCCCTTCTCGAAAAGTCCGGCTTTGATGAGGCGCGGCCGTAGTGCGTCCCAATGCTCTTCGGAAATGTCACCAGTGCCGTCAAGCGTGAGAACGGAGCTGTCCTTGAGCATCTTATCCAGAAGAGCATGCCAGAAATCGTCCTGAATGATGAGATCGCCGTTTGGACCACGTTTAACGTGCACCATCCGGGGAAGAAGACTTTGGATGTTTTTGACAGCACTCTCCGTAGAAGACGATTGTTCAAGGATAAAGTCCTTCAAGTCATTAAACTGATCATCCGTCAGCTGCGGATGACTGGGGATGAACTGCCCGACGTTGCTCCTCCAGTGCTTCCAGCCATACCATCGGATGCTGGTATTCGAATCCGGCGAACCATAAGAAGACGCGGTCAAGACTATCAGACCGATGAGGAGCACTGGTACAAGGAATGTGAACAGCTTCCATACGCCCCATGTCGAACGGCGAATCAACTTCAGTAATCGTTGCATGAAGGTTGGAGGAGCAGTAGTATACGGAGGAGGCGGTGTTTCCCCGTTGGTGGTATTTGACTGTTCGGCTCGCGGCCTGGATGTTTGGTTCGGTCTTGCGGCTGTGGGTTTGGACACCTTGCCAAAGGACGGATACTGTTTGTCAGACATGGATTTCGCCTCTGTGTCGAACAAGTCTTGGTGTTGATCGACTTGATGGGGAGCATGCTGGAAAGAATTGGAGAGGGTTGACGCTGGTCGCCTTGCGATTCTGGGTGGTTCTGGAGGCTCTGGGGTATATCGGGCTAATCGCCTCTGTTGAGCCATTCGCACCACCTCTTCTTCGAGCACTTCCCTCATCTTTTCCGAGTCGGTGTAAACATCGCTTTCCTCCACATAGCTGTTGCCGGTATCGGGTACCACAAGTTCCCTTGTCCTGGAAGTAGGTGGTGTCGACAGCAGTTGTTTGGAAGGTGGAGGGGGTGGTCGCATAGCCTGCCTCTTTGCTTCCTCCAGGCTTGCCATCTCTGCTTCGCTTGCCTCTCGAGCTTGGCGTTGCTCTTCCTTCTTACGCGCGGCCTCTGCTGCGTGCTTCTGTTCGGCTTGACGCCGCGCATCTTCAGAACGCTCACGTTTTAGCCGAGCATTTCGTTCGGCACGTTCCAGCTCGGCCTGTTCCTGGTCCTCCTCGTCGCGTGCTCGTTTCTTGGCTTCTCGTTCAGCTCGTTCTTGGGCCTCACGCGCAGCCTTTGCTTTGGCTTCTTGCTGAGCTTTCGCGGCCTGTTCCTTCTTTTCTCTCTCGGCCTTTTCCCTCTTTTCCCTCTCTTCTTTGTCCTTCTTGTCTTTCTCCACTCTCTTCCTTTCTCTCTCCGCGGCGTCCTTCTCCGCTTTCTCCCTTTCTTCCGCTGCCCTCTCCTCCGCCCTTTGCTTTTCTAGTAGCTTTGCCTTCTCAATCTGATCTTGTAGCTTGTTGAGAGTTTGGGCTGGTTTCGTAGCACGCCGGGGCGGGTCTGGTTCGGGTTCCTCTTCTTCCTCGTCATTGTAGTAGCCACCTTGGTTGTCGTCGTCGTCTTCTTCCTTCTCTTCCTGAACTTCCTCATCCTCTTCCTCCTCCTCTTCGGTTTCTTCCTCAATTGGGTCAGGGCGTCTGGGGCCAGGAGTTGTGCTACCCCTACGCGCATCAAGCTCTCGACGGCGAGCCTCAGCCTTGATATTGTCGGTCCTGACAGTTTCGTGTATCTCGGCGAAGGCCGTTTCGAGATCAGTACCTGCGGCGGTTTTGTTCCTGTCTGGCATAGCCACCAGTGAGGAGCCATAACTGAGACTGAATCTGGTGGGCGTTTGATTCCTGACCTGCTCAACAGGGATCAAAGTGCCGCGCTTTCCGGGCTTTGGCGTGCCTGTATCGGAAAGGGCAGGCGAAGGTGACACCACCGACCTCCGCGTTATCCGTCTAGGAGGCATGGTTGCAGTGGATTTTGTGAAAAGATTGTTAACGTCGTGAAACGCGAGGTCAACGTGGGACCAGTGATTGGAATATGAACTGTCCATAGTGTCAGAAGGCGTTATAAAATCCAAAATGTGAACAACTGATGTTTTCCTTTTCCCTCTGACACAAATGTTGTCGCAATGAACAGAGACGGATGGAAACAATGTGCTACTGAGGGAAAAGAGCCCAAAAGTGAGAGGCGTTACAGAAATGTTGAAGACTGTAGGCGAATGAAAAAAGAAAAAACAAGAGCCGCGCTTAGAGCATGTGCATGGGGCGATCCAAACTCACATTTAGATGTCGGACTAGACGACTGAGATGCCGCCCAAGTATTTTGAAGACGAGTTGCCAGTGACAACGAATCGATGAGTGTTAAGAGGCTGGGCCGAAATGCAGAGCCGTGAGGTGGCTCTTTGGGTTCTTTTTGTGAGGCTGCCGCTGCAGGCCGAATTTGCTTGGGTGAGCGTCCTCCTGTCCCGTCCAGCCAGACAACGAAGCCGCCGCCGGTCTGTATATTGGAGGTCGATCTTCGGGTGGTTGCGATATGTTGATGCGCCTTCGCCTGCGACTGCGACTGAACGGCAACCAGACTTTTGCTATTTGCGAGGCGCGCAACACGTGGCACCCGCCTCCAATCAAGGTGAAACTGCTGAAGAGCCCTACGGATGCCCAAAGTGATTACTCGATACCGTTGGTCAATTGCGCCAACAGATCCGACGCGAGGGAGACCTGAAGAAAAGTAACCCAACCTCCTCGCTGAACGTAGTGAAAAGTCGGGTAGTCGGGTCCTCGGCGATGATGTGCAGCGTTCCCTTGCAGACTCGGCACGCGTGGCTTCGATTGATGGCACGCGATGCTAGGCTGCAGCAGCGATCAAAGGAGAATTGAGCGAAAGCCTTCTAACGCTGGGAATCCTTTTTTTTCTGACAGAAATTGTGGATACGTCGTGGACGTTGGGGATCAATTGACTTTTGCTTCACTTTTTTCCCATTCAGTGTTTTGAGGTTGAGATCGGTGGCTTGTCCAGCATGAAGACAGAAAAGCGCTGAGAAGAGGGGGCCCGGCGGAAGTGAATCAGAAGATGATTATTACTTTGCTACAGTGATGTCTCTGGGGTAAGTAGGGATGTTGTTGATGTTGTTGTTATTGACAATGCATGCATCCATTCGCAAACGGATAAGGCAAGTTGCTGGTGTCTTTTGTTCTGAAAACGGCCTCGTCTCTTTGTGGATGTCTTGGTTGACTCGAGCTGCCTTTCATGTTGAGCTGTAGCTGTCCGCCTTGCCTTTGTTAGCAGTCATTGTCTGGTGAAGGCCTCTTGTTTGATGGTGCCTTTTGTTGTAAAGGGGACCCTTCGGCTGCTCTTCGTCGAAGGTTCCCGTCTGTCTTTGACGCAGCGCAGTCACAATAGAAAGCGAGTGCCCTCAGCTTGGAGCAAGTGGAAAGATTGAAGACGGGACAGGATGCGATGAAACAGCTGAATGTGTGCGCACTGCTGGCGCGGCCGACTGCCTGCCGCAACAGCGCTTCCTTTGCGTTGAAAGTGGAAGGTCAGGCATCAGGGCACTCGCCTTGACTCCCGTCCCCTGTGGCTCGTGCTCCTTCACAAAGTGCAACTTCCCGCCTCGGCTGATGTCAACTCCCCACTTCAGCCCAGTCGCGCGGCGCCAAGCAAAATCATAGCGTTTGGGTGGAGGCTGACGGTTGGAAGGGAAAGGGAATGAAAAGCGCGGGAATGGCTCGATGAATAAGCGAACCGATATGCGCTTAAGCGAGAGATATGCAGTTCCCGTTGCTGTATCTTGAATTCCCGATCTTCGGGGGCTCGAGGACGGAATCAGGGACTTGTTCCACGGTCCCGTCCAGGGGAGCCAGGGCTGTGTCGTGTCAGATCAGGTAGACCGAAATCTCTTGTCTTTCCAATCCGGTCTGATCGCCGTCTCTTCTCACTGCAATCTGCCTAGCACGGACTTGACGACATCGAGATGGGATGAACCTGGGGCAACTGAGGCTCCACCAGCATTCCCAGGCAGTTTTCATTGTCAAAACATCTCCAGGACCTCCAGCGTAAGCAGGTTCTCTAACTGGCGCAGCAGAGACGATCCAAATTGCACGTTCCACCATGGAACATTGCAACTTGCTACGTGCTGCCCGCTGGCTATCATTTAATATAACTGTGTATCGTTTTACTGGCTACTGCGTCTCGAGTCTCCGAAGCTGATATCCGAAGTGGGAAAGTAAATCCTTAGCTTAGTTCCCAGACTCCCGTCTGCCCCTGGTGTAGGGTAGAGACGGGAGGCATGTTTATTCCCCGGGCCAAGACATCGAGAAGAATGGGGAAAAAGCTTGACGGTAGGCTATGCATAGTCCCCCAGAAGCCCGATGTGGGCTCCCCAGGTCTTGACTTTTGTCACATGTTACTAAAAACTGCACATACCTACCTACTGTACTTACCTATCTACCACTCCCCTTTCACACTACACCACTACAATAGAACCATCTCGAGAACTTGGCAGCAGGGGGAGACCGGAGGAGGCCTGGATGGAAGCTTCTCAGAAGCAGATGGGGTTGCCGTGGTCTGGTAGGTACCCCGAATTCCAAAACCTTGCCGTTGCATGTCGCGACAAAACATCCAGGAAAGGCTGCACCCGTTAGAACCCGCAACCCGTCGCAGGGTGCTGTGCAGGGTAGAGGTAACGTGGTAATCCCGGGACGGCGAGCAACGGATGGCAAAACACCTCTGACGGGAGTCTCATCTCAATTTCCATACAATGATCCCATCGACAATCACCACTGTCCTGCTTCTGTTTGGGTCGCCGATGTGGTTCCCTTGTCGTTTCATGTTCGCCCCACGGCAAACTACGGTCTAGCGAAATTCGACAATCGTCATTTCATGACCGGACCCGTCGGTATGCCATTGCAGGATTACACCAGGATGTGATAGTGCCGTCGTCCAGCCTAGACCCATGCCGGTCCATCACGGTCCATCGCAGGCCCAGGGAATGGAAGCCAGGGCCCCATTCCCGGACCAACAGACCCCTCGTTGCAGGCTCCAAGACCGAGCTTAATTAACCTTTGCATGCGCTGCCCTGCCGCCCTCGTTCGCTACTTACCATTTCCTACCAACCACAATTCCTTTCTATCTTTAACCGGTCCTAACAAACCATCCTCTTCCACCCTTTGTCACTCTTTTTGTGTGTTTGTGTGTTTGATTCGTTTCCTTCTCCACGGTAGCAGCGGCAACGGCATCAACAGCAGCAGCAGCAGCAGCAGCAGCAGCATCACTTCAGTTTTGGAAGAGAAGTGGAAAAAAAAAAAAAAAGGAAACAAAGCTATCGCGTTATCGAGCATTCAAAATGGCTGTGGGAACAGTTCTCGTCACCGGGTAAGACCAGCCCTTCCAGCCCTTTTCCCGCTCCAACACCCGACGACACGAACCACCCTCCCCGAACGCCCAGCCCAACTACAACAACACTGCGCCAGTCAGTCATCCTTGAAGATGCTGCACCGCGCTCCAATTCCCGCCGCACGGGCAGTTTGTGTGGATCGCCTTGAATAACACAAGAAACGCCTCGACGGGCGCGCGCGCAATTGCACGCCGCAACCACCCATCATCATCCCATCACGTCCTTCTCCCGTCGTCGTCATCGTTGTCTAGTGAGCGCGCGTGGCGCTTTGCCCTTGTTATTGTTGTCGCGGCTTGAGATATTGATTGTGGCTTGCTTTTGCAGTGGTACTGGCTACATTGGCTCCTTCACCACCCTCGCCCTTCTCGACAACGGCTACGATGTCGTCATTGTCGATAGTCTCCTCAATTCGTCCAAGGCCGCCTTAGACCGCATCGAGCTTATCTGCGGCAAGCGTCCCACCTTCTACCAGGTCGACATCACAGATGAGGCCGGCCTCGACGATGTGTTTTCCAAGCACCCCGACATCGACAGCGTCATTCACTTTGCCGCACTCAAGGTACGTTGCACAACTGCCATCACCCGATGTCATGTCCGTCTGTGTTTGTGGTGTGACCATCAGCTAACAGTTGTATTTTGTGGACCTGCAGGCCGTTGGCGAGTCTGGCGAAATCCCACTGGAGTACTACCGTGTCAATGTCGGCGGCAGCATCACCCTGCTCCGCTCTATGGCCAAGCACAATGTCTCCAACATTGTCTTCTCGTCCTCCGCCACTGTCTACGGTGATGCCACCCGTATCCCTGGCATGATCCCCATTCCCGAGAACTGCCCCATTGGCCCCACCAACACATATGGTCATACAAAGGTGATGATCGAGACCGTCATTACCGACCATATTGAAGCCGAAAGGAGGAAGGCCAAAAAGGCGGGCAAGCCCTTCGAGCAGTGGAACGGCGCTTTGCTCCGCTACTTCAACCCTTGCGGTGCTCATCCCAGCGGTATCATGGGCGAGGACCCTCAAGGTGTTCCTTACAACCTCTTGCCTTTGCTTGGCAAGGTAGCGACTGGGGAGAGGGACAAGCTTTTGGTGTTCGGTGATGGTGAGTAGTCCCACCCGGCAAAAACAGCCTCGAACCCAGATGACAGGATGCTAAACCTTGTATGACAGACTACGCCTCCAAGGATGGCACTGCGATTCGCGACTATATCCATGTCCTTGACCTTGCCAGCGGTCACCTTGCCGCCCTCAACTACCTCCGCGAAAAGAAGCCTGGTGTCAAGGCCTGGAACCTTGGCTCCGGTCGTGGCAGCACAGTCTTCGAGATGATCAAGGCTTTCAGCAAGGTTGTCGGTCGTGACCTGCCCTACCAGGTTGTCGACAGGAGACTCGGCGATGTGTTGGATCTGACTGCCAACCCCGCGCTTGCCAACGAGGAGCTCCAGTGGAAGACAAAGCTCACCCTGGAGGACGCATGCGCCGATCTATGGCGCTGGGTGGAGAACAACCCCAAGGGTTACCGACAAGATCCGCCGGCCGAGCTCTTGGAGAAGCTCAAGGCCAGCAAGGCCGTCAAGAACTAAAAGGGGCTCTCGGGCTCTTCACTGCTTTACGACCACCCTTTTCTTCTTCGTTTTTTTTTTTTTTTTTTTTTTTTTTTTACCTTCACACTTATTACATTCTGGCTTCTATCGTTTTGGGGCTTCTGGGTCGCATCACACTGTTTTAACAATTCCCCCTTTGCTTTATTCCCCCCTTTTTTTCTGTTACGACTTTGTTATGATTTCTTCCGCTACGTTGCTACGTATTGCTCAAGTTCATGACACCCCCTCCGATTGAACGTAATCAACCTCATAGATAGCATCTCATAGAAGAATACCGAGGTGAAAGTCTGCATGAATACTACATGCCGCGTTGCCTTCCGTGTTTTGCTATTATATCGTCATATCTAAGTCATGGCTGTGGGTGGAAGAATATTGAATGGCTATGATCGTTTCTCCTTAAAGCTTCAACAACAGCTTGCCCGTAGTCTTCCTGCCCTCCAGATCGGTGTGCGCACGCGCCACCTCCTGAAGGGGATAGACCTCATGGACCTTGATCTTGACCTTCTCCGTCTTGATCAGCTCAAACAACTCCGTCGTCCACCTCTCCCATTCCTCCGGGGTGACGATATATCCAAACAGAACCGGCCTCATCACCTTGATATTCTTGGCCCCCAACCTCAGAATATCCAGCGGCTCCACCTTGCCCGACGCGTTCCCAAAGCTAATCACCGTGCCCTTCCTGGCCACCATATCCAAATCCGCATCAAACGTAGCCTTACCGAC